ATGTGTATGTAACTCCCTCAAATGTTACTTCTTGTATTTAGTACATATTCTTATCAGTTTAGAAATAAACTGTTAGATTAGAATGATAAATAAATCACTTATATTATTGTCTTGTAAAGTATAGTATGTACAAGATGTTCATATAAATATTTGTATGCACCTCTTTTGTTTTATTCAATTATTTCAGAACTTGACTTAAACATTTTAACATAAGTACAAAAAGAAAAAGCAGCATGAAATTGATAAACAGATTTCGGAATGGTTAGAGAAACAAAGGATATGTCTTTATCCCTTTTTGCAGCAATTCACTTTTTTCACTTTGTTTGATGGACAACATACTTTTGCTTTGTAGATCCTTTGGCAGCTCCAGCATCGGAAATTCTTTGACATAATCGAAAGTTCAAGCTTACTTTTATAAAATTGCTATAGCAGTCTGCAAAAAATAATAAGCTGGATCCAATTCGAAGATTAAGGAACAACGCAATCTGCAACATTAACTAAAATAGATATTTAGATAATTTTAGCTTAGCTTATACCGTCCGTTATACAATAAACACTCATGCGTAAACGTATTATGCGCATGCGTAAAAGTATTACACGCATGCGTAAACGCCTATGCTCATGCGTAAACGCACTATGCATTCACGTATGCGCAGAAAGTTTGTAGCTTTGAGGTCCGGATTATAGATCATTCCGGATTATAGGTATCCAGATTAACGACTTTTGACTGTACTTGTTGAAAGCTTGTTATATATTGGTAAAATTCACTTTATATACTGCATTTCAGTTAATATACTACATTGCTCTGTTCCTTACCTTTCTGATTTCAACCAGTTAATTACTTTTTGCAGGCTGTTATTATTACAGTATTACTTTCATATTACAGCAATTTTTATAAAATTGGAATAATAATATGAAAGTATTAACAGTTAAAACATTCATAAGTTAAACTTTCAGTTTTAAGAGTTTCACATGAGTTTGAACTTTCAATTATGTCAAAAAGAATTTCTATTTCTGGAGCTGCAATAGAATCTACGAAGTGAAAGCATGTTTCGAAGTCCATTTAAGAAAAAGTCGAATTGCTGCAAAAAATGGATAAAGGTATATATGTCTCAAAATTATGTGAGGAGCATTGGAAAGACAACTGTATATGACTTGAGAAAACAGAAAAAGGAAATTTTTGAATTTTATGTGGATTCTGACACTCCATTCACAATGAATAAGGGAACAATTATTTGTTATACTAAAAGTGACGATAAAGTGATGACTGAAAGACATCCTTGCAGCGAGCAGGCCTTTTAGCATCCTTGCAGGACCTTTCTGAGCATCCTTGCAGGACCCGTCAATGCTCACTGCATCCTTGCAGCGAGCATCGACGGGTCCAATGCTAATGATTCAAGATAAAATATTTAATGAAGAAATTCACTTAAAGCTGAAAGCACGAATTTGACAGATTAGTTAACCAAATTTAAAAATTGCCATGGTATAAGGCAATTAAAATATTTGGGTGAAATAAAAATGACTAAAACTTTCTGGTGAAAGTGCTTCAGCTGATACTGAGCTATTTGCAGATGAATTCACCAAACTCGTTAATAGCGAAAAATCATCTCCAAAAGAAATTTACAACACTGAAGAAACTGATCCTTTCTGGCAATATGTACCCTGAAATACCTGCCTTTTCTGCAATTTTTTTCAAAGGCGGACACGACTCCACCTGCCTCGCAATAACGAACTCTGACGTGTTTCCCCTTCAGCATGAATGGATTTTTCTTGGCATTCTGCCAGATACAGATCCCATCACTTTGGGTACAAGTACTTGTTGGACAGTTTTTACGACTAGCGTCTACATCCCAAAACGGCAGCCTATGAAAGAGGCGATTCTATTATTTTCATCGGGGAGTAGGGGAGTTAGAATGATTTTCTGAGGAATGCAACGGCAGTGGACTATATGTTTGCTTACATTTGGAAGTTCCAAAAATATCTAAGGTGGATTGCCTTAGTGTCTACAGTTACTTACAGGGAAATATTAGACAGTTTTTTCGGTTTGCTGATAGACGGCAAATAGACAATTTACCTTTATAATCCGTGTTTATCTATTTAAACTTCAGAAGATTTAAGATGAAGAGAATATATTTAACACAACAGAATGCAAGCTTAAGACTTGTAAATCTTTTAAAAAACAATACATCGATAATTAAAAATATTATTTATAGTTCATTATTAAAAATTTAACTGGTATGTCATATATCAGGACTTAGGTTGAGTTTTTGCATCTATATGGCCCACAACGATGTCACGCGCAATTTAATCTATTGCGGCGTTTCTGTGTAATTTTAATTTTTTTCCTGCCATTTTTCTTGAGTGCGGCGTTTACGCTGATGCGGCCTTTCTTCCGGAAATTACGGTATGTAATTTACCTGCAGGTCTTTAGTATTTCATCACAATAAACAAATCACCTAATACAGGACAAAGTCCCGGATGTCCATTATCCGGAATGATCTATAATCTGGACTTCAAAGCCACAAACTTATGCATGCGTGTAATGCGTTTACGCCTGCATGTTTCATGTTACGCATGCACGTTTAACACAAAAAATGAAGCAACTTAAACAGTTTACACTGAAAGAAATGTTTAATAAAGTAAACAAATAAATATTAAGCTTTTTTTTTTTTTTTTTTTTGTAAATTTTGATACCCTTTAGATTATACTTGCTCTTTATTTCATAAATTACGGTTTCATATTTTTAATTGTATAATTTCTGCATGCCATCTTACCAGATTTAACCCTTTGACGTGCAGTGGTCGCGCCTTGAAACCACCATTTTCCAAATTTTTTTTCTCCTCTTTTTCCGAAATTTTTGAGTGAAAATGAATTGATTACTGATCATTTACATCTAAATAACACAAAATGACTGTAGAATCATATATGTTTTAGGTATTAATACTTCAGATCGGATGCCTTTTAAAATTCATTTTCTATGAGAGAAAATAACTTCCTTTTATTAATATAAACAACTTTAAATTTCAAAAGTTAGTCATCGAACATGATGATTTCTATCATAAACAATAAAAAATTGCAGTAATTAAAATGCATATATAAAAAAAAACCTCTATATGTCTGGCATTTGCTATGTGGTTTCAGGGCACGACCACTGCGCCTCTAAAGCATTGTGTCACAATGCTTAAATCCTCTAGAGAATCGGTGGTCGCGCCTTGAAATCACTGGCGTTTGGTTGCTTTTCAAATAGAAATGTTTATTTTTACCCGGATATAGATCAAGGGCTTTGAAACCACAGAGTTATTTTATTACTAAACAATACATGCACCTGCCCAGTAAAAAGGTGTTTCTTTTCCAAATACTTTTCTATGACATCAATACACTTGCTCCCCATGCTAGTATTGTGATTTTATACATTATTTCCTGTGGTTTAAATTTAATGTAAATATACTTTGCTATAATTAAAAATAGAAATTGCATAAAAGTTTTATTTAAATAAAAAATATTTTCTGAATATTTTGGGACGAAGTACGAATAAAACAAGTATGAATGAGAAACGAACGATCCATACAAAGCAAAAAAGACAAAGCCCCCCCCCCATTAACATAAAAAACCAAAAATTTCATGTGCCAGATGAAAAGAAATGAAATAACGCTGGACATATACCAGTGAAATTTAAATCCAGGCAGTGTACATTTTCTAGCACAAGGAAGAAACCTCATAGAACAAGACGTATGTGCGAAACGTGCAATGTGGGTCTATGCATGAACCAAAGAGACAAAACATGATTTGAACAGTGTCACAAAATCTTTTTTTCTTTGAAATAAAAAACACTGCATTCTTTTTTATCCTTATTTTATTTTTTTAATCCATTTATCCAAATATCCTTATATTTTCTCTCCTATAGAGAAATTACATAAATGTTTATTTTTAAATTTTTTCTGACGATTTACTTTATAAAATAATGTAAAAAAATTACATATAATGCAATTCTTACATACATTTTTTTAAAATCTGTTTTATTGGAAACACGCGGAGAAAATGGTGAGTTTTTTCCCTCTACTACATCAGTAAGTTTCAAAATTCTAGATGTGCGGTGGTTTCACAGTGCGACCATTCCCCGCAGAACAATGGGCAAGAGTAGATTTTTTTAAATCCATATATTATTTGTCTCTAGGATCATAATATTCAATTTCTAGAAATTTTAGTTAAAAAAATTATAAAAATAATATTGCACACGTCAAAGGGTTAAATTGATGATCTATAATCTAGAAAAGCCCTTAATCCGTAATCGCCGAAGTTCCGACGAGTGCGGATTACGGACTTTGTACTGTATATTATTTGATTACAACTAAAAGATTATCATTAATTTAATAGCTTTGATGGTTAAACTCGGAAATATTTTTAACACAAAGAACATACAAGTTACAGTACACACATGAGATGAAACATTTAGCACTGCTCCAGAATTGCATCTCAGAAGTATGTCAAAGTGGTAACAAGCATAGATCACCACAGTGCATTTTGGTAGGTAACAGATGTAACACTAAATATGAGTGATACAAAAATCTGTGGAAAGTTACATCCAGTGTGAAAAATTAAAATTTTGGAAAAGTAGGAAGAAACACATAACACATCATGGCAGACTCTGAATAAGAGCAACAATACAAGACTTTTCAATCGAGGTCGGTATAAGCAGCTTTAGACTCTTTAGGACAGAATAGATAATCAAATGCAGGTTCAAGTCATCATTAGTTAAAAATAATATAATTTGCATGAATGTATTTTTTTGCTTTAGAGAAAGAAAAATTAAATTATGATTTATTTTTCTCAAATCGCAATTCAAAAACTTCGCCACAGCATCAGCATACGGTATACCTTTGAACCTAAAATTATGCCGTTAAATAGATCTTTTATTACCAAGAATTTTCTTACCATTTAATACTGACAATGGTTGTCATTCAATTCAAATGACTTGACAGCAAAAAATGAGGTTTCTTTGATGCGTACACAAATCTTTACTACACTGATATATAAATGTTGACACTAATTTAAAATCTCAAAAGATAGAAGTCTTCTCTTCTGGTTTAGGTCAACACATATTTTTCAAAATACTCTACTGTCCAAATGAATTCTTACATACATGACAGTTTTCTCTCTTCTGTTGGAACGCATACCTTAATAATCCTTTATTAAAAATGAACCTTTCCATACCTTACACACAAGTATTCTCTCCTCTGTGAATACGCGCATGAGTGTTTAAATTACACTTCTGAGTAAATGACTTCTTGCATACTTCACACACATATGGTTTCTCTCCTGTGTGAATAAGCATATGCTTGTTTAAATCGTACTTGTGTTTAAATGACTTCTTACATACTTCACACACATGAGGTTTCTCTCCTGTGTGAATAAGCATATGGCTGTTTAAAGCACACTTCTGACTAAATGACTTCTTACATACTTCACACACATGAGGCTTCTCTCCTGTGTGAATAAGCATATGGCTGTTTAAACTACTCTTCAGATTAAAGAACTTCTTACATACTTCACACACATGAGGTTTCTCTCCTGTGTGAATAAACATATGGCAGCTTAGCCTAGACTTCACAGCGAAGGACTTCCTACATACTTCACACACGTAAGGTTTCTCTCCTGTGTGAATAAGCATATGGCTCTTTAAAGCACCCTTCTGACTAAATGACTTCTCACATACTTCACACACATGAGGTTTCTCTCCTGTGTGACTAAACATATGGCAGTTTAAAGTAGACTTTTGACTAAAGGATTTCTTACATACATCACACATATAAGGTTTCTCTCCTGTGTGAATAAACATATGGCTGTTTAAAGTACACTTCTGACTAAAGGACTTCTTACATACTTCACACACATGAGGTTTCTCTCCTGTGTGAATAAGTATATGGTTGTCTAAAGTAGACTTGTGATTAAAGGACTTCTTACACACATTACACATATAAGATTTCTTTCTTGTGTGAGTAAGCATATGCTTGTTTAAATTACTCTCCTGGCAAAATGTCTTCTTACATATTTCACATATATAAGATTTCTCTTCTGCGTGAGTAAGCACATACATGACTTAATGATTTTTGAATGAACTTTTGACTTAATGATTTCTTAAATACTTCACATACATGATGTTTTTCTCCTACGTGAATAAGCAGATGATTGTCTGAATTAATCTTTTAACTAAAAGTCTACATACCTCACACATAAGATGCTAATTCACATTTTTCTCCAATGTGAATCAGCATATGCATCTTTAAAATACTTTTTCGACTAAATGAAATCGTACAAATGGGGTTTGTGTTCAGTATGGATATGCACATGCTGTTTTAAATATTACCTCTTGAAAATGATTTATTACCTTGTAATAAAACATGAACCTAGAAAATGTAATTTCAGAACAAACATAGAACATCCCCCTTCTAGAACATTCAATTTCTGTACTATATTGATAACTGTAACTAACATTTTTAATATAACATAACTTGCTACATATTTTATGATGAATTTCCTCCTCTGAAGGGATGTAAAATGGACTGCTTAAGAGAAATTTCGGTAAAAGTAGTTCTAAAATGGTTCGCTCTAGCACTTCATGTCTCATGTAAATACAAGTGTCTTTCTTTATAAAAGAATCAACACAAATTATTCATGTTACGTATCAGCTGCTTGATATTTGAATACCTTGATTTCCAATAATGTTTCACTAAATATTATTCTGTGCAGTCTTAAATATTACCTAACCCACAACATGTAATTTCAAAACACGAACATAGATCCTCCTCCTCCTAGAACATGCAATTTCTGCACTATATTGATGAATGACATTCTTAATATAACTTGCTACATATCTTGTGATAAATTTCATCCTCTGACGGAATGTAAAACGGGTTGCTTAACAGAAATTTCGGTAAAATTAGTTCTAAGATTGTTTACTTTAGCATTTCATGTTTCACGTAAATATCGTAAATATGCGGTTTTCTTCATAAAAGAATCAACACAAATTATTCCTGTGACGTATCAGCTGCTTGATATTTCAGTGCCTTGATTTCCAATAATGTTCCACTGAAAAATAATTTCTTATAGTTCACAAAAATACGACTTCCTTCCCGAGCATATAAACATCTTTAAACAAGAATTTGTAAAACTGGGTCACATATGCTACGTTACGGCGGCCTGAAATTTTTCTACAGTTGCTAGCCAATGATTTATAGCTTGAAGAAGTTGCATGTCACATTAGAAAATTAGTAACAACTGTTAAAGCTTACACGGAAAAGAGTAATCGGCTTTCAAGCTTTAAAAGTATGAATCACACTTCAGCATGAAGTAAACTTTAATTAAAGGCTCACATCATAGTTTTAAACAGTCACCTTTATTAAAAAAACTATAACTGCAGTAATTATTCAACTAATAAAATCGGTGAAGGAATTCGGTTGTTGACAGAACCTTTTCACGAGCGAAAAGGGGGAAAAATCAGAGGAGTTACGAAATTCTCTGCGTTGTATTGAAGATATAATAACATTCTCGCCAAAAGTTATTTCGCGTCATCCGCATATTCTTATTTTTGGAATTGTGGTTGACAGACAGACAGACAGCTTGTTTTGCACCCGCTAAGTCTTTCTGTACGGATGGGCGAAAAATCAAGCTTAGGTGCCAAGGAAAGGTGGGCAATTTGGTATTTCAGAGGAGAGTGAAAAGGAACTTCGTACATTTTGTACGAGTTTGAAAGGCTAGGAAGAAAAGATGGGACAAATTAAAATTTAAAATGAATAGCCCAAAAAAATAATAGAGGGGGAAAAAAGGGCCTATAGAAAGAAAAGGAAAATATTCTAAAATACGATTGTGTCCATGAGTGTAATTAAAAGGAGAAGAAGCTGTCTTCATTTACAATAAATAGTGTCTCACAGGTGTGTTTGTGTGTGTAGTGAGTGTGTTTGATAATGCTGAATAGATGTGATACTGTGGTCTTGGCTACTAATGTTTAAAATTACTTTACGATTAGAAACAGCATGAATTATAAACAAATAGCTAAGTTTATTGCATTTTTTTTTCCAGCTGCAGCAACCATGCAACGAACTTTTAAATTAAATGTTCACTGTTTGTGTTTTCATGTATAGCAGTGCTGCAACTAAACTCTGTACTTTTCTCTCAAGTGAAGTGAACTGATTTGTTGTAGTTAGTTTTCCTCGTTGCTTGTGCTGTTAGAATCTGTCTGATATCTGAGACCCGACGAAGGAGGCTTACCCGGATATTTACCGGCCTCAAGGCAAATACTCTCGACACACGAGTGGTATTGACGAATGAAGGGTTATTGTAATTGGCTATTTATCGCCGTACTGGTTATTTTTTGTTATCATACTTTTACGTATGTTGTAATTGCTATGTGAATGAGTTTGGGGAAGTTTTTACAAAATATTTACGACTCTTCTCTTTAGTGTTATAGTATAGTAGCAAGAACTTAAGATTATCATTATACATACGCTTGCATTAAAACTAATCAGTCTACTCAAAAAATGCATTAGATATGTGATTTTACTCATGCATTATTTCTTCGTACATACACAAATAGAAATATATATTTCTGGCATATATGTATATAATATTTGGAGTGTGCAGTAGTTTTTAAAATGCATGAAATTTATGAAATCAGATTGAAATCTGTGTTATATTTTATTATCTATTTAATGGAGAGATACTTATTACTTATTTATTACTGAATTAATGGAGAGATACGTTTTATTATATTACGGTTTTATTGTCAAGTGGAGTAATCTTTGAAATATTATAAAAACTGTATAATGGATTGTTTTGCTAAGCAAGTTTTTTCCGAACATTACGCTCTGTTAACTCTTTGTTGAATATGTCCACTGTATTATGAAAAGAAACCTGCATTGTATTAAAAACATATTTCCCTAAAAGATTTAAGGAAGACAATTATTATTCATTTTCTCAAATACTTGTTTTTATATATTATGTAATGAATGTGGAATTTTTATGATTGCAACCTTTGAAATCAATCAAAAATAAATATTTAGGTCAAAAGAATTGTGTATGTAAAAAAACTTGTCCACATATATATTTTCATGTTAACAGAATTTGTTTTTATATATAATGAACAATTATGTCAGAGTTCATCAATGCAGAGATTCCGTGTTGATTTCTACAATATTTGTCCTTACAATCGTAAAACTGCATATTTGCAAAAAGTATAGATATATTTTCTTTGAAAATAAAAGTAAGACTGTTAAGTAGTGTCTTAGATATCAATTGTTTTATCTTTATTTACAAATTAGGGCGTAATCAGCAGATTACTGAGAAAATTTAGATGACTAAAAACTAAGGAATTTTGAATGCGAGAATGTTAGATAATTTTAGATACAGATTTTATTGCTTATTACTATATTTAACTACACTTATTATTGCAGCTTATGTAAAATTTACTGTTTCTGTTTAAAAAGTTGTTCTTTTTTACATCTTTTCACTTTTATGAAGAAAGTTGGAAAGCAGAATTATGGTGCAACATTTATTTCATATAATGCCTGCAGAAAAGTAGGACCAATTATGATGTAACAGGAAAAACAAGGAAACCAACAATTTTAAGGAAGTATCTGCAGATATCAATTTTAACAGCTAGGTATATTATCCTAAACATTAGTCAAGGTGTAACAAATTTTTAACTTTTTGACCCATTTGGGCACCTAAATTATAGACATAGTGATCTTATAGATTCAAATAATTAGATATTAATAAGTGGTCTTCAACCTGTCTCCTATATCTTGCACAACCAGATATTTCACAACTCACTTTACATTTTCACTGCCATCTCCTTTACAGTTTCCAATGGACTCATTTTTTTACACCGAATATACATGTACTTCTATCTACATAATCTATGTAGTTCATCATATGATTGTTTCTTTTATTTATGTTTTATTTCTTAAGAAATTGATATGATTTTAAAAAAGGACAACATTTATATTATAAGAAAATGATTTAATGAAGGTGACCCTTTTCTTTTTACAATGAAAAAGAGGACAAAAAGCGAACAAAGCAGGACATTTGCGTCTTCACAAAACTTTTTTAAAGCAGTCACACGAACTGTAAAACGACTAAAATACAAATAAATTGTTGTTATTATTACTTCTACATCAATTGGCATGGCAGATGATGCCATGTTTATTGCATTTGACAAAATATGTGTATTACAACCAATGCCTAGTGTTTTCTTTTTGAGTAAATCTGATAATTTTTCATAGACATTATTTACTCCTTTTGCATCTTTTCCCACCAAAATTTGTATTTGTATTATCTGCTGTTAGTGCAACAACTTTATATTTCAAATTGTTTTCATTTATTACTCTGTATAGATGGTTCACCAAAATTTCTTCGCCCTCAATAGACTTTAAATTAAAAATTTTTATGTGAGTGCTCTTGTTAACATTATAATATCTTACTAGTATTGGATACAATTTTGTTTCATTATGATTCGATGCCTCAGATAAAACTGTTATAAATACTGCATTTTTCAAGTCTTCTGCAAGTATATTGTCACAATTATTATACTCAGAGTATAATAATTATACAGTGAAAGGAAATTTGTATTTGCATCAGATGTAAATGTGAACTATAATATTATAGACACATTAAAATAAACAAAGTAAAGTGCGCAAAAGTGTGAGGGTGCATGACAAGTGTGGCTGCGTGATGTTTTGATATGCCCAGAATGTGCTGTCTGTGCATTTTATAATCATGTTTTTTCGAACTGCACTATCACCTGACCATTGACATGTAACATTTCGAAGCAGCATCTTTAACTAATACAGAGATAAACAGATTAGTTGTAAAATATTGAAAAGGAAGACAGTTGGGAGGACACTTCTTGAAGAAGGACAGAGTCTACCAAAGGAGGACAATTGGTCTCCTTGCATGGTGGTTCGCATGTAACATTCTTTTCATTGTTACCTCCTGGGGCATAGCTAGAGGGGAGTGAGGGTAGACATATGTCCCTTGGCTCCCCCCCCCAAGGGGAGCCAAACTGATGTTACTAAATTTTAAAATTAAATATTTTCCGTTCTTAGCAAACAAAAAGGGGTGCGAAAACTTCAGCTGGGCACTGAAAACCTTACCTATGACTTTGGTTACATTATCAGCTTTAAGATTTTCCCCAGGCAGATTATTATAATTCTCATACTGTCTTCGGACTAGTTGTAAGACATTTTAGCTCTGTGTATTCCTAAGCATATTTCATTTGTGATAAAATTTTCGTGGTGAATCATTTCCATAAGTTTCTTCAGAGTATCAGGTATGAGTCAACATTTCAGACATTAGCATCTGAAACACAAGCACAGAAGCTAACCATACAGAAATAAATGCCAATGATGATTTAATAGCTGTCCTTTTTTTAAAAAAAAAAGGATTCTATATAATATCCTTTAATAAAGGTTAGTTTTTCTATATAAATTCACCTTAGCTGCTTCATTACTTTTTACCATTTTTTCTTATTAAAGATTTTACAGCAGTGCTGTCCTTTTGCAAAGTGGAGATCTGTATTAAATTTATATTTTTTTAGATATGTACTGTTAAATATAATTTAACAGAAATTCAATTATCCTTCATCCTCTCAACATCAGTTTTTACTATTCACTTATATATTCTGATGGACAGAATGAAACCCCCAAAAGGCGAAAAATAAAAATAAGTAATAATAAAGAAAAGGATTTAAAATAAGCCATATTGTGATAAATATGATTATTTTGTCATTTTATTTATAATAAAGGAATAAAATACTGTTTTAAAAACAAAACAGACTATGGAATGAAATTACATAGAAAAAAATTTCCATAAAAAATGACAAATGGTCAAATCAATAGTCATGTTTTTCCTGAATATATAAACCTTCATATCCAGCATATAAAATTTTAATAGAAATTTCTATCCAGCAGTAAGAAATAGTATTGACCTAAAATGGCGAGGATGAGTCATGTTAAAGATGTTTGATATTTATTGTATTTTGTGTAACGATTGTAAGTTATATATTTCTTAAATGCAACTGACTTATATCATAAGAGCTTGCTTTTGTTTGCATAAAGGCACAAATCCACATACTATTGGAATTTCGTACATCCATTTTGATGTTTTCAATGAAAGCAAAAATACCAATCTGCAGTTTGAAAAATTAATCTGGCTATTTAATTATGATCTGTACATTACTTATAATAAGTATAACATATAACACATATGAAATTTTATTATTGTACAAAATCTTTGGTAAAACAATTTTGGAAACTTCTGAAAGTTAACAGTAATTCTGAGAACATAAAAAAGCTTTATTATTGAGCATTAATAATATGTAGTTATTTTCTTGTTTGAGCAATCTAAAAGCTATTAAAAGAAACAGAAATTGAAAAATCATCAGGAATCATTATATCGTTATCTTAGGGAGATTTCATTACATTTAATATAACTTATGTAATAGTTTACTATTTATATATGTATATGTGCTATTTCATCACTGTGTGCTAACATAAGTTGTCAATAACAATTATTAAATGCAGTGGTTTGTGAAATGGTTAGAAGTTTTGATTTTACTGCTTACTTATTTATAATTATTGATC